CACGACGGCAGATGTGGAATTCCATATCTTGGTTGCCTTCCATAGAAAACGACTGGTCAAGAAACTTTAATTCGTGGAAGAAAACGTAAGACTCAAATGGTAATTTCCTTTTGACTTAAATCGCATGTTGGCTATTTTTCCCCTTAAGGGGTTCTGGACAGTTCTGGGATTCGCTTTCACTACACGTCCTCACTAAGACCTTATGACGCAGGTATCTTGGAGATCGGAGCTACCTACTCGCCGAATCTTTCTATACCTCCAGAGTCGAATGGATTCTACTTTACAGGATATTGCTCCCCAGACTGTACAGACAAGGTGGGTTTCAGACCTAGAACCACGTGACCTTCCACAACCTCATAACGAGGTACTGCTCTTTGCAGTAGCAATCTCTCTTTTTCTTTAACTGATCGACCTCCAATCGTTAAAAGTGTTTAAACAAGATAGCCAAACTCCAACGACAAGATGGGCTGAACCAAAGACTACAATATGAGGCTATGCTTGTAATTAGAATGTTTATACTTGGTTGTGGGCCATATTTACAACTATCGTTATCCTGTTTGACGTCAGCTAAAATGCAAAAGCAAAAATGTGCATCGAACGTGATTCACTACTTTAAAACGGTTATATTCACAGCACTGGTGCTCATTTTTTAATCTTGATGCTGTTATTTTTGGATGATAATTTGCACGACATAATGTCCCGACAAAATGAAAATAATTAAAGACAGACCTTGATTCCCTCTGTATTCTTCAGGGGATTCCAGACCGAGGCATCCGTGTGTTCGCCTCCCAGCTTCATACTCACCTCAGCGGCACAGCTATTTGGACCAAACACATCCGCAATGGCGTAGAGATGAAAGAACTCAACAGGGACGATCACTACAACGCAATGTTCCAGGCACAACATTTGAACCTCTATTTTCACCTTTCAAATGAATACTCTGAAATTCAAATGATTTTTATTAACACAAACGTGGTAATTATCAGTCTCATCCCGAACAATAGAACTTTAAATTAAAATAACCATAAACCTGTACCTGCTGTCAAATTATTTGCTTTCTGTTCTTAAAACTAGGAAATTCGATTTCTTCAAAAAGACGTCACTGTACTTCCGGTAAGTTCCATTATTTTAACAACATAATACATACTTACACAATGAAATGAAATATACCCTTGCAGCGAAAATAAAGAGTTAAACCTCTATAATTAATGCCTGGCTGTATTGAGCATTAGTTCGGACTTGATGTATGAAGCTCGGCACCCACAAACATATCCTCATGTCAGTCGGAGTGGATCTTCAGGGTAGTGATAGCTGTTATGCAAATTTCTATCGAGACTCCATGTCATGAGCGCGTAGAGTAGTACAGAACACCAGCCTTTGTCAACATCCGCCGGCCAAATGACGCTTCTCGACCCAAAGCCAGGAGCTGACACAGCACTTCCCGTATCGATTCCGTTCTCACCAAAATGGAACAACACTTTTCTGGATCTAGTCTTTAATGTGTACATTCTCTTACTTGCTGTAGGGAGATGCCCTGATAACTACTTGTAGATACGACACATCAGCAAGACAAAATGTTACCTTGGTGAGTAGCGACCTGAGTAGGTCCTGAACAGTGGCGTAGCCGGGGGAGGGGGGCTGGGAGGGCACGTGCCCCCCCATTCCTGGTCCCCCCCCACTGAAAAAAACCGGAGAAATGGATATTGAACAAGGCTAACAAAAACGTGCCCCCAAAAATACACCACTGAAAGCTGGTGCCCCGTTTGATGCTCTCCCACCAGTAAAATCCTAGCTACGCCACTGGTCCTGAAAGCAGCATCGCCAACGAAAACCTTGCATATTAACATAATTTATTTTTGTAATAAAACCAGAAAATGAGAATCGTTCAATCGGTCCAACGACTATCGTCAATTAATATACTACCCGACCAGTTTAAATACGGAATAATGCATTGGGGCCTAGACATTATTTGCAATTCTAGCCAGAGATTGGCACGTCCAAGGCGATCCTTTTTTTGGGGGGGAGGCAAAAATCGTAAACTTTTTCATGTAACTTTTTACGGCCCTTTTGCGGGATGAGGCTACATTTGGAGGCTTTGTCTACACTTTTGGATGAGAAGGAAATGAAATGAACCCGAAAACCGCCTTCCTCTCGTTCCACTCTAACTATTCTCACAACTGTAACATCCCACTTTAATAATCTCATTTCTTTGTAGGGTGGATTTGGTATACAAGATGAGATGTGCGTGAACTACATGCATTACTATCCCAGCATCAACCTAGAGGTATGCAAGAGCACCATTGCCAGCACAGCTCTAGCGGCGTTCTTCAAAACTGTCGACAGCAGGTGAGGTGAAAGACTGGCTGTTTTTCAGTGCCGCACCTAAACATTGGCATCAGTTTCGGTTGAGCAACGTTTGGTTTATACTTGTTCAGTTTATTCATTTCTACGCGTGCTTGGGTGTTCGGTTAGTTTACTATTGTGATAACTGTACAAAGCAAATTGAGGTAAAATCAGGCAGAGGAGCAGAGTTGGGTTTGTCCGTGCTGACCGGTGGAATCGATGAAACCGTGATATCAAACCCCTGATAGGTCTAAATATCGAGGTCAGTCATACGGGACTCGAGCTTTGCGCCTTTTACCCTCCTTCAGGACTGGGGACTCACCTCATGACGTCAATTTGACATCGCCATCAGCAGTAGCCAACTGTTTTCTTCACATGACCTGGACACCGAGTGTGAAGTTGCTATGGCAGTACGTCATCAACGAGGCGCCACTAGACATAGAGTGCCTCAAGTCGTCTGGCCAGCCATTCACTGTAAGTCACGTTTGCGCCATTTATAGCATGTTGATTTTCGGTTCAGAGGAGCTTTATCTACAGGTCTGATTTTTATCTTTGACAAAATCTTGGACTTCTTCAAAATCGAAAAGGACAAGTTAAAAGTAAATCTTGTTTATGGTTTTTCTGTTAATTAGGCCTAAGCGGTATTGTGAGGAATATTTTAATTGAGAAAAATCATAATGTGAATTCGATTCTAAATTGTTTCTCGCTGAACAACAAAAGTTACATCTTCGACACAGATAGGTCTAAGTCCTATGCGTATTGACTCATTAATAAAATCATTTAGTTTTATTTGGATTGATCTGTTTATCAGGGCAAGTGGAAGGATCAACCTCCTCCTTCAGTGAAGATCCCTTTGCCGAGGAAAAAACGGAAATGCCCTCACAAGAAAATCCACCCATTCCAGAGGAAACTTGGTAGTTCACCAACAACATAAGAAAAAAAGGAAATTTAAACATGCACTTTAAGAACTTGGATAACGTAGATTACTCATGTTTAAGGCGACACTTATTTGCGTCACATTAGAGAACAATAATTTCAACTACAAGATCGATAAAATCTCACAAATAGGGTTTGAATTCTGGGTTGTAAAAAGCTTAATTCAATTCTATGAATTGATCTGTCAATTTTGATATTTTAACTTGATCACAATAGCACATTATTGATAATCTTGATACCAGGCTTTCCGTACATTTTACCAACACGAGATGTATGAGCGACTACAGCAAGGAATCAACGTGATTAGTGAGCTATAAACTAGCGAATATCAAAAAAGAAAATGTAATCTTATGTCTCATTGTACAAAAATATTGATATTACAATATAAAACATGAGACAAATCTCGGCAGGTTGTTTATACTGCTGTATACTTTTTGGTAGCTAAAAGGTTGGTATGAGTAATTTGTACCCAAGCAGCTGGTTGTATGGCCTTATGACGAGAAGTATATGTTCGTTCGTTTGATATTTGATCTGTTATGAAATGTATTTGGAACAACACAAGCCTAAAGGTTTAATTAGGAAAAAATGGTAATACATGAAAAGAAGAAGTGCATATTTTAGTCGAAGCTTCGAGCAGAATCCAATCGATGTCTGTCGGAGGCTTAAATCTGACAAATAATAACTGCAGCCCAAACTTTACGGAACTGTAAAATAAATGAAAAATTATTTGTCGCACAGACACGAAGTAAGACAACAGAATTTTATTCTTTCTGTCAGGAATAACACGAGATGCTTGACCATTGGAAGTGAAACTGGTAGAAGTTTGTTCTACTTGTTTTCCTTTAAGCCACAGTGTAACCACCTCCGTCAGGTGCCAGAAAATAAGACAGTGGTTTTTTTGAGGAGTCATATCCTTAATCCAACAATTAATCCTGAAGTCTGTCCGAGCTACAGCAGCCGTGAGGTTACCAAGAGGCAGAGTACCAACACCACCAGCGAGACATTAGGCAAAATGGCACCGTTTCCCGGAGCTGCGGAATAGGAGATACAAGTTTTAAGAAAGATTGAAAACAAAGACACAACCAAACAAATCAAACAATATAGTAATATATAAGTAAACGCTACTGACGCTTTTGGATACGGTAGTTTCATCATACAAGAATGTCTGAATGCTGCTTAATAAAACCACTTCTTGTCCATTTTGGGAGATTAATTTTGTTTTGTGTTTCCTGTGAATAATTGATTAATTCTTTATCGAATGTATGATGCATGCATGATCCCAATCAGGGGCCGATCCAGAATTTTCCAAAAAGGGGGGGGGGTGTGAACTAAAGCAGCAATGGTGTAACGCCCGCGAGCGCGTGGGGTCTATGGTTCGCTTAAGGGCACGGAGGTGGATTCAACTAGGAGTTCCATGGTGCAATGTCAGGCAGTATGACCCCTTTTTATGCCTTTGTCACATTTATGGGGCTGAGCCCTCTTTTTTTCTTCTCCCTCCCTCTTTTTCTTCTCTTTTCATTTATTTATTTTTCCTTCTTGAATCAAGGGAAGGGGGCGTGCACCCCCAAGCCTTCCTGGATCCGCCCCTTTCAATTTCATACCAACTTTGTGCTTGATGTGTGTAAAAAAAAACCTGTTTACTTCATGGTACTGCAAAACAAGTCACGTGCATGCATAATCACAGAAACATGGGGACAAAATAATAACATGCTGTGAGCAATGATTCAAAAGAATCCTCACCAAGGTTAACTACCACTCAACCGAAAGGAATTTACTATTGCTAATTGATAATACATGTACAATACCCTTTTTACCTTGTCGCTATGAAAATCCTCGATTGCCTATAAACAAACGGTACATTTCCAAAACGTTTTAGTTGAAAAATTGTACTGCTGAGTTTCACCTTAACTTAAACTGACAATGAGGTACTCAGCTACTAGATAAACATCTTCCAATCTGCTCATATCGGTAGACAGTCCCGTGTTTTCATAGACAAACGTTTCTGCTTCCTGTCAATATATTTCGATTCACGTTAACGAATGTTCTATAGCTGAACTTCTGTGTAAGGCCCGGCATTGGAGAGTGGCAGACAACATAACAATGTCTCGCATATTGTAGGTAGACTAAGTTCAAATAAGTAACTTACCTTTCCAGCCAATCTGTTCTCCATTCTTTCGATTGGTCTCTGTGAGCCACGTCATCAGTGGCTCAAAATAGGCATTGATAGCGTCGGCAGATATTGCCCTTTGACCCGTGATGGCTTCCATGGCGTCCGGCCAGGGCTTACTACAGCCCAGCTTCAACATGTTGCTAAAAGAGAACAAACACAAACGGAAAATTCTCAAGATGTATTTTTTTATATATATAATTAAACTTTTATTTTTTTACATATAATTAAACGGAAAGTTGTTCAAGTTTCCGTTCCCAAGAGTTAGGTGATTGATATCAGGTGCGTGGCATCGATTTCTGTCAATCGGTAGTCACTTCACTTTGCTTTTCTATGCCCCGGCTTTGACCACTACCCGCCAAAATGGCAGTAGTGAACGTAGCTTATGGGATAAATGCATAAGACAAAATACATAAAGGCTATATCATTGGTTATTAAACGTACTAAATTAGATCAATCAAGCTCCACCGTTCATCACTTGTGTCGCATTGAAATATCTTTTTGTTATCTTAATTGAGATGAATGAAAATAGCTGTTGCAGAATCTAAGGTTTTGTTGCAACAACATGAAATCTTTTCGTACGCGAATTTGGTTCCTGCCTCTTGGGACTTATAGAAGTCACATCGGTGGAGAGGTCCTGTGTGCCCCGCGGCATCGCAAAGGGCTTTCTGGAACTGAAACTGGATAATGGTACGCATGTAGTATCTGCAATGAGAAACAAGCCCAAAATCAGTATGTCAAATACACCACCACGTGAAACCGGATCCGCCATTTGTCTTACCTAACCTATTTCACTGATTGCTGTGATTAGATAGATTTGACAGGCGTGAATAGGCCTAATGGAGGGATGGTGTGACGTTGTCGTTGAAGTTTTTGAACCTCTTGCTTACCCAAGGAACGGATAGGCCACCACGATGTGATACATAGCGCCAGGGTCAAAATCATCTTCAGTCCGTGATACGGGCGCCTCAGTGCCCACAAGGTCATGCCTGAATCGTCCAGAGAAAATAACATAACAAAAACGGTACCAATTTAACCTTTTTAACCTGCAGATGACAGCATTTTCTTGCTTTCCTTGGTCAATAGCTGTTTCAAGTTAAAGTTCCAGCCGGAGTTTCACCTATATTAGGATACTTTGACTCCAATTGTGTCGAGTTAATACGGTCAAACGGGTCAACACGCCTTGAACATACTGACCATCTACAGTTCCTGAAATCATAACGTGACTAGCTCCTGATCCAAGGAACCGATCGATTCTTCAAGAAGTCGGCTTCTTTTGTGTATTAAACTTACTTAAGTTGCCACCACCGTTCGGTCCATTTATCTTCACTGATGTCACCAGCGAAAACATCCCATCGCCACTGATCCAACGCTAAGCTGAATGGTAGAGTACCAATGGTGTTCAATGCCGTCTTCAAAAGGAAGTTGATGTCAGTTTCTAAAGATAGAGCAGAGCATCAACTCAATTATTAATGCTACATGTATATCACGTGGAATCTTTATTCGGCTGGAGTCCTGAGGATGTTAGAAAAATAGCAGAACATTTAGAAATGCACCTTCGTCAGTGCCGCTACCCGGTTCCAGTAAACCTATGTCTGGGTGTGACAAGTGAGCAGGGGTGGATATCGACAAGGTCATGACCTCTCCAACTGCCTCGTGGAAGGCACCATTGGCACCGTCCCTAAACGGGAAGGGCAGGTCACTGTATTGCATCTGGTACTGGGTGTGGCCCAACTCATGATGAATGGTTTGAAAGAAATCCATGGTGACCTCTGTGCACATCTTAACCCTAGGATGCGGAAAGACGAAAAAAAAGACGTCGAACCTGAATACAATTTTCAGATTACCACGCGAGCTACATTTATGGAAATATTACCTGCATAACTTATCATTTTTCCCCAGTTGAATTAGTTGCCCCTTCTAACCCACCTGAAGTCCTCCCCGTTTCCCAGATCCCATGCTGAGGGGTGACACACGACCTGTCGGCCGTCCTTGGGCTTCACAATCATAGAGTTGCTCCAGAAGGCCGGATTGACTCGCAGCAGACCAAGGGAAGCGAAGAAGTCATCGGCAAGCTCAAACATTATCCGCGGAGTGAAATTCTGCCGTAAAGAGCATGAGCGAAGAGCAAAATGAAAAACAATCCTCATATAGAATCTCTATTTATCGAATTAGAAATCCGATTGGTCAAATGTCATCCACTCCAGTATCCTGGTTTTCTTTTAAAACGAGACAGCTTTCACATGTTCCTGTGCTGTCTGAATTCTCACTAACTGTATATTGGTAAAAGTCGGATTTTTGTAATTCCTAATTCATCCGACCAAAAAAGTTCGACCCATTCTTGTCAGGCAATCTTACCTTGGCAACCATGGTATCTGTAACATCAATGTTTGGCCGATCTGGATACGGCACTACCTGACCAAATATATTGCCCCAGAACCGTCCCCACATATCACCTGTGATAGGAAATTGTCATTCTTGTTTAATTTCAGTTTCAATTTGAATTGTTGTGTTGAAATAGCAAGCAATCACGCGAAAGCTTTCAAGTAACATAAATAGAGATTCTAATGGATAGAGTTCATTGTAAAAATATATTTACCTAGTAAACAGGATGGAATTTTTCCCTTGACATCAACTTTCGAGCCATGGGTTTTGTGCATGATGCGTCTTACATAGGCGTGTAGCTGTTGGTAGAGGGGCAGTATTTGATCGTAGATCTTGTAAGCTTCATCGACGATGGTGGCGCTTTCATAATCAGAGCGCCAATAAGCACCCATGTCCGCATGACCTAAAGGAAAACAATAGCGATTGCGCATTAGAATTCGATTGCGATGATGTGTTCCATGTTTTTGTTTTAGGAGAAACTGCTCTTTGGTTAGTAGTAACCATGGCATCAGGAGCGACTCTCTATCTCACCGTTGGCCACTGCTGCTTCATTTGCCAGTTTGACGAACTTTTTGTAAAGGGGTTTGTTTGGTGTCCCGACTGCATCGCGGAAGCCTTTCCAGGCCCAGACTAATTCATCCCAGTTGGTCGAGGTGGCCATGATGTGGGCCAAACCTGTTAAGGAACCAGACGAAACAGACAGATTGTCGGTCAGACAAACAGACAAGGCAGAAAATGACAAATACAATACAACAGCATGCAGGAATTTAGATACACAGATAAACAAAGAAATTTACAAATATTTTTTTTTCAAAAGATGAATTATGAATTTGTACAAATACAAATACGTCATTTACATCGGATGGTACAATATTTGAATAATGTATCCAGTTTACATCCTTACCAGGCTCTAGTTGCAAACATTCTGTTGGTTGGTCTTCCTTGCAGACGGTGCCAGCACTGTAGTTGTCAGTCATCTTATTCACCACATTATTGTACTGTCAAGGTAATTAGAAAGAAGTGCATATCCGCTCCGATTGGAACAAAAGAGGACGTGTTTCTTGGTACTCACCGCAAAGTTACACCATGAGGCGCGCAAGTATATGCGCGTTTAACGTAGAGCACGCTGAGTACGCGTAACTAATTCACTCCCATTGATCTCCATTATTGTGGGTGCGTTCGATTAGCTTACACGTGGAAGTCAAACTTCGTTTAGCCATCACGTGATCTTTGTGCCTGCCCTGGTGTCAGCCACCACTAGCCCAGCTGGCGAGCGGGTCTCTAGGGGCTGCCCGAGTGTAATGACGTCACGGATGGACTGTTCGAGCATGGATATCATGGAACGTGGCGGGGACTTGACCTTTTTCCCAGAATGTTTTGGCGAATACGCTGCAGCGTTCGATTAGCCTCATTTCGAGGCTTCCCTTGCGTGTAACACTGGTGTATCAGGGAAGCTAATCGAACGCACCCTATAGTCTTTGCGTACACGCAGTACGCGACGCGTGCAAGAACCCGCTTGTAACCACCTGTCCTTCTTTTCACCGATTGGGGGCGCACTTCAGCTCGGGGCAGATTCAGGTCATACTTTCCATTCTGTTGCACGAATGTTCAAGTACCTGACAACTGTGATAATAGAAACTAAAAAATGAAAATGGCTCGAAAAATGTTAATTTAATTTTTTGGTGTCCCTTAATTCACTGCAATATTAACTTACAGAGATTCAACTATATCCCGATGAGTGATTGATACTAGCCTTGGTTAAGTCGATAAATATTTTTTAAACGCAAACCATACCTCTTCAACCTTGCTAGGCTCCAGTGCAGCCGTTCCTATGTCTTTGATCTTTTGAAATTGCCGCTTAACATCTTCATCAAAGCCGCTTACATCAAATCGACTTGCGTTCTGGTATGCCTCTTGTCGAAATGCGGCTGAAACTAGACTAGCCTCCACCTATTTGAACGGGAACCAATCAACAATTAACCTTTGGGATTCGTTTTACGAATTCTAACATCAATTTTGTAAAAGTAAGAAGGCTATAATTCCTTACTAAAGATGTCAATTGCAAACAACAAAGAAAGGACAGAAACGCGGTTTACTTTATAGGCAGTAAGATTCATCTCTCTCCCCCGAACCACATCCGCTCAGAGCGGGAACAAAAGAGGGCGTGTTTTTAAATGAAATTGTTGGTGCTTTGGTACGAACTCAATGCGTATAGGCGCTCGAGTTTATGATGTGCGTTTGACGCAGAGCAAACTGAGTACGCGCAAAGAATTTTTCTGGAATGTTTTGTCTTCGCTAGTCTTGGGCCGTGTCCGAAACGGGCTTCCAGAGGTACGGCTAGGTCTATTATCTGCGCGTCTCCACGCATTTCCAATGGAACAAAGACCTAGACCTAACTCTAGACAATAGATTCGGATGCAGCCTTAGTTCCAAGAACTTCCAGTAGTTATTCCGTGACAAGAACCACACACGTAGGCCTACACTGTTAGAGGGCGCTATCACCACACGAATCGTTATGATAACGATTCATGAGGTGATATAGCACCCTGTACATGTAGATGTAGATGTACATACATGTACATGTATAGTACGCGTGATGGTTCGCGGTGTTATGGAACAACTGGAAGGTCTTGGAACCAAGACTAGGTCTTCGCGTGCATGCCGAACGCGCGCAAGAACTTCCTTGGAAAACTTCGTTCCAGTCTACCTCTCTATCGCCGATGAGGGTGCCTTTCAGCTCAGGGCGGATCACAGACATCGGCCCTTTTCCAACACGCGATTTGGGCTCCGTCTGAGGCTTCGTTCCCAAAACCAATCCCTGATTGTGGGCCTGAAGCGTTTAAATTAAATTGGATTACTGTAATTTCTGGCTCTCTTGCATCTTATTTGATGTTTTGTGGCACTATTAGACTAATTACTGCGCTTACGGCTTCAAAGTCAGCTAATTAAAAAACAGGTGAAGCCTGAGACGGAGCCGAAGTTGAGTATTGGAAAACGGCCATATAAACGCATGGACCGCCAGGTTCCATTCAAAACTACGGGGGGGGGGTCGTGATCTACGCGGGGCCTGACTAAAATCAAAACTATGGGTAAATTCATTAATTCACCCCTCGGTATATGGAATTTACGCACAGTTGAAGAATCCCAGCCATAAATTCTATGAAGCCATTTTTCGATTGTAAAAGACCCCCTGTATTTACTTAATCTGGCCCATAGGGATTCGAAACAATGCGGTTACAACATTTGAAAAAAATATAGCAGTACCGAAGAGCAAAAACAGGTGAACGTAGTCGGAAGCACATGTAGGCCTAAACAAATACAGGCAATGTAAATACGTTGCACGTAATGCGCAATGGACGCGCTGCCATCCGTCGCTTCGCTCATTGTTTTGCCATACTTTTCAAAATCACGGTTTTAGAATTAGCGTGGCTGGTTCTCGTATTTTCACGAACAGCTCGGTTTGTTGTTCGTGGGTCTGCCGCTCTGGGAACGAACAAGTGGTTATTGCTGGTAGTTGCATGCAACATGACGGCGACCATGTACGTTATTCGAGAGTTAATGTTTGGATGGGCTGAATTCTTTTTTATTTAAACAGGAACATTGATTTTTGTGTTATGGAAAATGTTAATGTTAATTTTGCAAACCTTCCCATTGTCGGTGGCTTTGGAAGCCAACTGTCTGCTTTTACATGTGTTCAAACATCAAAATATCAAGGACCTGGCTTTTTCCATTATCACAGCTGGGGGCGGTTCCCTTAAGAATTCGCCTGCCTGGTCTTTTTTGAAACTGAGTATGCATGTAAAGACATTCAAAATGAGTACAATTCTGAAGTCTCTATTTTTCCCAGAGGGGTCAGGCCCGTCAGATTTTTTTTCAATGTCCGATTGTTGTGGATACATAGGTAATTTATTACATTGTTACTATGTACAAAATAATAACCCTTACAGGAGAGGATAGTATTTTGTCGTTACCGATATAATTGCTTTTTATATTTATCTTCTCTTTTTGGTGGCCCGAGCGGTGTTTGCCGAGCGGGGTCCCCCTTGAATCTGCGCCTGGCCTTCAACTCAATCAAGCATAAGGTTTTGTTGTTAGGGGGTCGACCCGCGTGCAACGAGAAAAGTTGACATTATTTTTGGATGACCTGCATCGGACAAATCATAGGATTTTCGTGAGAACGGCATGTCTGATGTTCCACAAAACTGGTGTCGAAATGATCACAAGACCTTACTGGGGAAACTCAGAAAGTTCGGTGCTAAGGAGGTACGTGGTAGTGGGGGGCGTGCTCGATACCCTAAATCTCCCTCTTGATACCCTGTACCGTGGAACACTGTTGTAACAAGGTACAGTGTATTTGGACTTCAGTACAACCTTGTTGTTACAGCTGCCTTGATAGAAAACAAACAAACAAACAAAAAGATTTGAGACCTTAATCCCCCCGCTGTAAATATTACTTAGCATTTATTATAGTGTTCTTCTTATCTGTGTTGACTGTTCGTATGCCTTCCAGCAGAACTGGACTCAAGATTGAAGGCACTGATTGCCCTATTCCACTATGACTTGGTTCCTACACCATCATTGGTCCTATTTACACTCTCATCATGCATCAACCAAACACTGTGTACAGATAACGTGTAAATAAAATACGGTTTATCGCCTTGCTTCTCTTGTTAAGAAGAAAACTTCACAATTGATAACATCGCCATATAATTACCCATAATTCTGCAACATGAGCATATATTTGTTTGCATTAGGATTATTCTGTCTACAGACGAACCACACAGAAACTTAAGCTTGCAGTAAGCCAGGCTATAACAGATTACGTTTTAAAAAGCCTGCGAGCGGTTCGTTTACACCATGGAGGAGGTTCCTTCCTCCATGTTTACACCGAGTCGCAAAATGCAGAGTTTAGCAACGTTCAACTCAACTTTTCCCAGACAATGACGGACGCGCTTCAGGGAACAACTGGGCGCTGTTCAGTTTGTCCAACTATGCAACTGTTTATAAGGTTTTACAGCAGCCTACGTGATGCATTCACGTGAGAAAAAAATATCTGAAAGAATGCATGATGTCCTTAGGCTAACATTCAAGGTGAAAACACCAGGAGACATGAGGCTATTTTATAAATGAAAGATAAGCATTGTAGAGACGCAATCTTTCTGAGGGCCATGGGGACAGTCATTTTGAAAGAAAAACTCACCTTGCCCTCCCCCAACACAAGACATGGACTCGCCATACGGGCATCGCGAACAAATAATTAGCTATTATTCGCTTGAATTTTAACACGGAACTCCCTCGTATACTTGTACAGGAGTTATTACCCATAAAGGTCAGTTACATGGCAGCGTCTGTTGCATGCTTCGCCGATACCAGCATTAAAAATCGAAATATTCATTCAATTTTATAAATAGACGTGGATCTGACGCAAGGCGAGTCGTACGTACATGGTCGACCAAATGATATACATGTACATGTACACCGTTCAATGCATCGAGCTCAAATAACTTCAGTGCTCTGTGTGAATACCGTTTCCTCTGATCTTAATAGCGTTACGGCTCTCCGGTAAAGAATCTTACAATAAGTTTAACTTACGTCTTTCTGCTGGTTGTAAGCAGTGACATTGGTGTAATATCCCCAGCTGGCCAGTGCACCGGCGTAGATAATGATTTGCGCTTGCTCTGTATAGTGTCTCAGAAATTCATTTGCCTCATTTTGGTCCGTGATAGGATCAGACTCCCTCGCTTGCTGGAGTGATGAACCGGCTTTGGCAGAAATCAGGGCAAGAAGAAGGGAAAGATACATTCTTGAGAGAACTCGGGACATGGTGGTTGCAGACAGGTAGAGGCAAATCAGTTTGCCTTACCACTTGCGTGTGCACAATGCACGCAGCTGACTGACACGCTTCAGTCGGCACAACAATCATAAACCCGTGTAATTTGCCAGTTAATTCAGTAAGTCGTATTTGAACATTGGTCCAACGCAGCCCCAGTGGTACGAAAGCCCATGTGTGCCATCTCTTTTTATTTTCAAGAGCAGTCATAACTACAGTGGCTTTCTTATATATTCCAGGGAACCACTCCGAAAATATAAATATATATATATACAGACATCCGTTGATTCATAACTGGCCATGAATATGCACCTTGACGCCAGTTGGCGTTGGAACGGCGCCTGCTATGACTGTTAAAACCGATGTGGGAGTGACACTCTCTACCGGAGCGATTACACTGGAAGACGCTGTCTGCAGGTGGGGGAGCTCTCTTGCGTTTTGCCCGTCGTGCCTCCGATGCCAGGCGCAACCTATCATCATCTTGAATCAGGCTCTGACGTAGGTTCCGGTTGTGCCTCCAACGCGAGCGATCCAATGCAAGCGTATAGCGTAACCTGGTAACACCGACAGTTATTGAGTACTGAAGTGTGACGTCTCTGTGAACAAGAAAGTGCAGTGCAAACGAATGGAGTACGCGCGCGTGTTGGTTCACGCGCTGGTTTTCGCGCTAATGCCTTTTACACACTAATTGTGCGGGTGACGTATTCACTTCGGTACTCTATTATAAGTAGACTACGCGCTCATCTGAGGCATTTATGAAAAAAGAATTCTGTTTCTCAACTTTTCTGCCATCAGACCGATTTTTGTACGTTAAACTAAGGCAAAGCCCACGACCAGTAAAAAATTACTGCCTTCGAAAATAAGACTAGACGCTATCGAAACTGAAAACAGCTGCTCTCCGAAATAAAAAATAACTGGTCACGAAAATGAAATAGTTATGGCACTAACAGGCTTTCGTAAATGGGGGGGGGGTAGTCATTCCATTGTGCCAAAATATGGGCTGAATATCAGTGGAGTTTCAAGCCTGCCTCTGGTTCTGTTCGCCCTGGTACATTCTTAATCCTTGAAGGGAGCTAGTGGGCAGAAAAAAAACTAAATCTCCACTTTCCGTGCTTTGCCATTCACTCTGTGCAAAGTTGCAGGATCTGGTTATCTAATGTCCTAGGGTCATATATTGTTCTCCGAGACAGTCGAGGAGTAATATCAGTAGAAATGCCGGTCACTTTGAAGAGACTGTGGTGGAACTTTGATTGAATTACCTGTACTGCCATTGCATATGATGTAAAAAAATGCATTCTAATAAATAATTATAAATTAATACGGGCGATTCGCAATGGTGCACCTCCAAGAGTTTGCAACGCGTTGGCCAATCACAACGTGCGAAATTTGTCGACCCTTTCCAAAAGCGCACTGGGTTGACAGATTTCGCGCATTGTAACTGGCCAACGCGTTGCAAACTCCTGGTGACGCACTATTGTGAAACCACTGTATTATGATAATTATAAATTATTTTCAAATAATTTTTTTACCCATGTTATTAAAGGTACAGTCCATCGTTTGTAGCTATCAAGAAATTAACTGACAAAATTAGTTTTGTGCCCACATCAGAAAATGTTATTGTTCGTTTTATATGTAAATTTTGAATTTATTTCAACAAATATTTGTGACATTACCAAGTCTAGCTCTTGATCTTTCCCTAAGAGGGCGCTCTCATTATTCGCTTTGTTGATCTTAAGTGGCTAGCTGCGCGGCGTCCGAAATTTGTGGCTGTGGCCGCTGCAGGTAACACTTGTGCAGCTAGCGGCTGCAGCCACTTCCCCTACAATGGAGTGCTAAACCAAGCCGCAACACAACCGCGTGTATACCACAGCAAACGGGTCTTCCCCTACCGCCGCGCCGTTACCAAATAATCACTTAACAATAACAGTGCAATGGCCGTCAATTTGAGGAAGTCTTTCCAGCCTTTTGTAAGTTTTAAAACGATCAGAAACAGTGTCTAAAATGGGCATCGACTACGGTAGGATCAAGAGAAATTTACGGAAAATATTTTGTTGGTTAACAGTTTGCAGACGCGTTAGGCCCTAAGCGTGTTAAGTAGGCCTCAACTTACCGACAGTTCCATGATATACATGTACATGTAGGCCTACGGACAACACACTTGATACCCCTTTGCGCAAACTAGACTACAGAGACTTGCCTGAAAAAAAAACAAGCGTTTTCTAAATAAATGATTGGCAATTTCCCCAGCTCAAGTTTAGCCTTTTAGGAGATGTTATTAATATTACTTTCTAATGCTGCTGCTAAAAATGATTTAAGGGAAAATTAGTGTTGTAATTAATGGAACTCTTTCCGACGAATTCTTTCCTCCATGCATTCTGTCTGCATGGAGGCACATGATATACGCACCCACAATATAGGCCGAACTGAAATCAGTATTAAACCTAACACTCCTCAGTCCTCCAACAGGTGAAGGATTGAGGAGTGTTAGGGTTAAAGCTAATTCTGTTATGCTTCACGATCATGACGTTAAAGCATATGTAAATGTAGGTCAGAAAATGCCTGTGGCATTTTCCGTCTTTGTGTAACACAAACACTGTTTCATGTGTACCATTTCAGAGTGGGCGGAGTGCGCAGTCCCTGAAGAGCAGTCATGATGAGGTCTATGGGCTTCTTTCAACAATCAAAGGGAGCGTGAAAGCTGGATCCAAGCAACTCAGAGATGTTGTCAGTGATGGGCAGTACAAGGTGGAACTGGTCTTGATTTCTCACTTCCAACCATCCTTATTAACCAAGGGATTTAATGAAGGAAGACTTCCGTGTTTGGTCTCCACCCGTTCAGAGTTTTCAAGTATTATAAATGGTGCTTTCTCTGTTCTCCCTTACTGAACCCATTTTATTTTGCTGATTTACCCCAAATACCCGTATAATACACCCCTTAACTTTGCGTTTATTACACTCAAACTTGTGGAGATCAGACTCAAACGTAGAATCCTTTTCATCTCTTTAACCATTTCCACCAGCTGTAAACTAACAGAAAAAAATACGCATGAAAGTTAGTGAAGTCAGTTCTCTCTCAAATTGTCAAAAGACAAGTGATATGTCATTGTGTCTGTGAATAAAGTAATCTATCTTGATATCCCGTAGGGTTTGGTGGAGTACATAGCTTGGGACTTACTACCCATCCTTGGTCCTCACCTCTCACATAAGGAGAAGAATGAAGAGATCTACAATGACTGCGTCCAGATTGTTCTCCGACTGGCTGAGGTGAGCAGAAAGTTTATCTCCCATCAGTGACATCACACTGACACACTTGTGCTTGGAATGTTTCAGATGCACTGGGCTAGCGCTTGGATAAGCCCCAATGAATGGTTTGAATTCAACTCTTTCCACATATGAGGAATATCAGAAATTCATTGTAGGGATTTTTTGGATCAAGCTCCAAAGACATCTTACTGTTAGGTGTATGATTTTCGCTTTCAGCTTGGAAATCCTAAGGAGATGTTTATTGGCATCCTCGAGCAGCTGGATCGATTTCTAGACAGCCTGGTTCACAATGACCTCCTTGAACCACTTCAAACAGGTATGCATATACATGCCTTCAAACCAGGACCCAGTTCCTGCTTAGCAGGAAATTCTGGTCAGCATATTTGTTTGCTAAGAAAATTCGGCAAATAACCAGTTCTGGTGTAGTTGGTAATGGACAGGTAGGGGCAGTGTCAATTATTCAAGTATTTGGATATTCTGTCAATTATCAAATATTTGAATATTCATTTCCAAATTGAATATTCAGAGTGATGAATTTCCTTGATGATTTCTCAGTCATCCGACGTCTAGGCCTTGCCAAACCACTCTACTACAATCAACTCCTGACCAGCCTGTATTCACACATGGAACGGCTGAGTGTACCCAGCGTCAATGGTATGGGGGCTATGGAGCGTCGGCTGATCGGCCAGGATGCTGACTATTCCAAGATGGAGACCACCACACTGGTTCTGCTGGAATTCTTGGTGCCGATGGTACGTGACATTGAGGCTGCGCTGGTGACGAAGCAGCTGAGCCACACCCCCAAAGTAGGTGAAGCTTCAAAAGACTGGTGTATATAACACTATCCGCTCATTTCTCAATTGCCTCTGTGATTTGACTCTCTAATCAACAATGCTGAATCATTCTGTTGTAGGAAATTAAAGAAATTGAAGCTACAAGAACAGAGATAATGAAATTGTAAGTGAAGATTTATCATCCTTGTGACCTGTGCCTGTTATGAATGTTACAATAAAACTGCATAACGTGACTTTTTTGAATGGACGTACGTTTACAAGGTTGAGTGCTTTTTTGTTGCCTACAGCGTGTTAAATATTCTCGACCATCCCCTGATTGCGATCGAGTTCAAATATCAGGATGATGCAGATGAAGAAGCGGCTGAAATGGAGGAGCTAGGCATCAGTGAGGAGGCCAGACAACGAGTCATTCCCAGACAAGAGGAGTTCTCACTGAGTAAGAAGGCTGCCGAGCAGTGTATGGTGAGTTCCCTGGAGGGTAATCCTCAAGTCTGATGAACTATTCCCAAAAATGATTTTCTAGAAATCCGATTGGTCAATATGTCTGAGCTGGCAAACTGGAGGTTGTGTGTTTGAAGCCCGTCAAAGAATTATTTTTCCCTGGGGTATCAGAGAGGTCTTGGTATGCTTGGCCCAGAATAGCTCATTCTTGTCAATTAAACAGTAAAAAAAAATCAACAAACAGACCAACTCAAAACACATTTGATTGACTTGTTAACCGTATCTACACTTTTAAGCAGGCGGTTCATATTATCATTAATGATGCTGAAGAGTTGTCAGGTTTCTGAAGTTGGAAGTGCCATTTAAAAACCTATTAGTATTGTTGTTATTCTTATTATAAAGCACATTAATTTTAGCAATGACACTTTTGCAAATGCCTGTGAATATTCTTGTTAAAGAAATGCAAGATCTGAGCAGCATTAGTAACTTTGTGTGATCTTCTGCAGCTGTATCTTGACTTGATGGGCTGCAGCTTCAGCTATTTGCTGCTGTATGCCAGCCAACACCCAGTCAATCTGGACACGCTTAGCGAAAAGCTCAAGAGGAACGCCCTGAAGGAGCAAGGAGAGGAGGTTAAAGACGAGACCCTCCCTGTCCTGGGGCTGAGTTGCTTCTCCTACATGGTCCTAGTAGAGGGTTACCAAACCAACCGCATGCCATCCGTATACAGGTGCGCTGAAGAAAGTGTAGTCGTCTGTGAAAGCTCTACAGCAATCTCTGCTCTCGATAAATTGTTGATTTGTTTTTATTCTCCAGTGCTGTCTACATGATGCAGATAATGATGCCTTATATTGAGGCCATGTTAAGACGAACCGAAGAGCCAATCCTCTGTAAAGGTTTGGTAAGTAACAGACTTTTAACCTTTGTTATCCTCTGTTGTTTCTGCTTTTTTGCAAAGATATTTCATTTGAAGGATCCCACAAGCTCTTCATGTTAGGTTATCCCCATTGATACCCTATACACTGATCTACTGATGTGATTCATTTTGTAGATTGGATGTTCTTATTCAGGTCTATCAGGTTTGTGCACAACCGCAAGAGAGAGCTAGGCACCTGGAAACCAAATGCATTGTGGTTCATCTGACTGGTTCATTCAGGCCTTAATAGGTGTTTGACAGGGTCCTAGACAATGAACCTTTTGCGAGTTAAATTTGAATAACATCTGGTACACTGAGTTCTTTCGATTCACGTTAACATAACAATTTGAATCCTCCACGCTAAAGACATTGTTGCTGTAGCTTGTGATTTGGGGCAAGGTTTTGCTTAGTTTCACAAGAGATGCCTCGCACCGATACACTGTTTTAAATGGATTCAAAGAGCACAAAGGAACCAGTCTATTTCAGAGATGGTGGTCGGTAAGCAAAAAACTTGCCCCAAATCACGAGGTATAGCAACAGTGTCTTTAGTCAGGGGAATTCCAATTGTTATGTTTATGTACGGTCAGATAACTCCGTGTACCAGATTTTATTCAAATCTAATTTGCCAAAGGCTTATTCTCTCAACCCCAGCAGATAGACTCTGTTGACTGCCGCCGATAGGGGGCCATGTGCAGACAACAACGCATATTCTTACTTCTGATGCAGGAACTCCTGAGGTCACTTGTCGACAGACTGGATGACCTATCCCTGAATTCAAGCGTGATTGATATCAAAGGAAACTATCTGCAGGTGTCAGAGTGCTTGGTACAAATTATGGTGTATTGCTCATCTAAGTTACTGGTACGTGAGCGATTTGATTGATTGGCAACTGACTAACACTAGATCATGAGATTTGATGCTCTTGAGAAGCCGGGAAAGTACCTTGGCCGCAAAATGGATCAAAGATTTTTCTTGTATTGCTGAACAGCGAAGGATGTCTGTGGCTATTGTGGTACCCTACATGAATCGTTTTGACTGGAAGGGACGTCATCACATGCTGCGTTCCCTGCTGAGCACAACAAGACATCCAGGTGCCAGGGGCATTCTTATCGGCCAAATCAAGGAATACATCCATATCACATTGCAGGTTTGTGTCCGAAAATTTTGAAGACTACGTGTCTCTTTCAGCAAGCGGGGACATTAACGAGATTGCTGCTCTTTGATCAAGCTTATTCTACTGCAAAGTGACTCGTTTACGTGTCTCATTGTAAAGTTTGTATTGGAACTTGGAAGCATGCACAATATGGAAGCACCGCTACACTGGCAATATAGGAGGCATTTATATTGAGGTGGATCACTGATTTTTAAAGTATCTCATTTTCAAAACTTAACAATATTTACGGAAAGAACAAAGAAGAGGTGAACATCTAGTTCTTATTTTAACATTTCAAAGGGATACTGGACTAAGTTACTGCCCAGAGCTGTAAAGAGTGTCAAGATAATAAAGGAATGGATGATTCATTTTCAGTGTGATGAAAAAAATAGCTGGTTCATTGGGCGTCGTTTTGCAGACCTTTGTAGCATGGTCTTCAGGCTTGACCACGGCATTCGGACCGACTTATTGCACAGTGCTGACAAGTGAGTAGAGAATACCATCAAGATACCATCAGTCAGTCCGAAAATCTGCCCTTTAGAGTGCCATGTTCTTGTTAGATTTGCCAGATGAGCCTTTTATCATAAAGATATAGCACCCAGATATCTCCTGCATCACTTAGAAAGTAGAGATGAAGACAGTAGGTATCAAAATTTGAACCCTCATTAAAATTAAAGTACTACGATGTCTATGTGATGGTAAATTGGCACTTGGTCGGTAGCTAAAATGCATTGTTACCCACAGACTGAGTTGGCTATGTTACTGTGTTCTCTCACCCACACACAGAGAAATTGCATCTCTGAATTTCCTGCGATACCTGCTGCTACGGGATTCTGGGGCTGAGCATTTGATCGGTATCTGGCTGTGGATCGAGATGATCCAAGAGGGTTACCTGAATCCTCTTCAGACCTGCCTGTCCATGTCTTTATCTCATTACCGACTGAAAGTGGATTCCACTAAGAAAGAAATACAGGAGGGTATGAAAAAAATTTCACTGGATAAATCTGTTTTTCAGTCGCTAAACCTTTTATATTTGCGGCACCCTTGGTACACGTAACTGCATATCAGATACATTAGACATTTCAACTAATTCCTCTCTGTATCAAATTATTAGCTGTCTTCTTTTTTGTAGTTTCAAACTTTATTACATGTATAATTTTTTAAAGTATCACTTCTTCAAAAATCGAAACAAAAACAAACTAGATACATGCAATGTCACCAACTGCCAACTACATCAGAGTGTTTCTTTGAATTCTAGCGAGGCTTTCAAATAAGCATCTGACAGGAAAACTGACGGTTGCTGGGAAAGAATACCCACCAATGCCTCTGGACGAACAAGTTAAGGTACAACTCATATCAGATTTGCAACCTTCCAAGCCATTGTTCGTGTTTGCCACTAAATCCGTTGAGTATGCAGCACTATTGCACAAACTGTTGGGCATAATTCTACCACCCCAGTTTGAAGAACTGATGTAAGATCAGATATTCAAGGATAAAAAAGCAATTAGTCTGTTGGTTTAGAGAAATTCATTTCCCTGTAGTAGAGCTTTTCAAATATTTGACAGTTTTGTGTTTCACAGGTCACCAGAAACTTGTGAATTTATTTTTGGAATGTGAAATCAACATGCAATAATTTGTGACGCATACTCGTTGGTACTCATTGCCATTTATAAAGTGTGATGAGGAACTTGCTATACTTGTGACAAGTTATGAGAGACAAATGATTGGTTCTCTGCAGGTTTTGGAAAATTCCTTGTACACAATTGAACTCATCGATTGCGTCCTTAGCCGTGTGAACGAGATTATAGCAGCGGGCAAAAATCCGCAACCAGCAGAGGGCGTCACTGTAAGAAGCTCTTCATCTGGTGGCATGGATGGTGCTGGTGTTGATAGTGTCACCATGGATACATGAAGGACGAGGATGAACCAGTCCAGAACATTTGGATTTGGGAAAACGTGTTACACATTTCCAAGAAATATATATAAACAGTTGACATTAATATAAGACTAGGTGCCTTTCATTTGGCTTTTTTTGCCAGGATAGTCCATTGGCTACTGCTTTGATTGAACTGAAATATCTGTGTAGTTTGCTGATGATATGAGCTTCAAAATCGATTTTAAATTTTCCCACAGAATGGACAAAGGTTTCCATGGCCTTTTACTCAAATAATCTCTTGCCTGCGATGTCAGATTCCTATGAATAATTAAGAGTGATGTTTGGAGATTTTACCAAGATGGTTGCTCAGTGTAAAATCTGCAGCACTGGAAAGACACTTTTCCCAAGTCAACATCGTGAATAAAGTAAATTAAAAAGCAAATCTCCCCCAAGTTATTTCCCAAAACTTTATGATAAACGTCTTTAACAAATGCATCCAACTGTGAGATGAGAGTTTATTTTATTCCAAACCAACGTCACATTCATTTTTTCTTTGTAGAAAAAAAGTCAACTTATCAAAGCTTCAGAGCAGTTGGGAAGTCTGAACCATTGTGTCGTGCCCATGCTTTGAAGCATATACATGTATTTAATAATTTACTTCAAGTACATGTAATTCACAAATGTCTCTGAAAACCCAATATCAAATATCTGTCTGCTGCCCTGGAGAAGGGCATATCAGCTCTGACCAGGAACAAGAGGGGGCATATTCCCACACGATGGTGGGAACTTGCACACAGGATCATGTGCATTTGATAGGGGTCATGCTTAACACACACAACCAATTTCTATTTAAAGGTATGTCGTTGGCACACGTCCCTTTAGAAAAGTGCATCATGTCTTCCATGTGTGTATAAATACGTCATAGTGTAGTGCACTCCAAGTTACATTTTGCTGAAATTAAAAGAATTTGTAAGCACTCCAGGGGTAACTACTCATTGATACATGTACTTTAATCTTTCACAGCTTTGTAATCTTGCAAGTACTTGATGAAAATGAGAACATGTGGAGAAAAGGGTCACAGTAAAATGGTGCTTGTAGTTTTGACTGTATACTACATAAAATTGTGGTCATTAAGAATGGCTGTTGTCCCATGTAAGCATTAAGTAGTGCAATACAAGTACATACATGTCTGCAGATACATGCATTGTGCTGAAAGTTTGTAGAATGCAAATCAAACTTACATGTACACACCTAGTGTGGACCCATGAACTAAAGACGTCCCTCATGCAGGTTGTGCAAACTTTATGTAGACTAACCCTGAGGTCCAGTTAACCCCCTTTCTGGGGGCAATCTTAAATTAAGGTTATACAGAAGAGGAACATTCAAGGAAGCCAAAAATATTCCAGCATTCACATTGCAAAAAACTGAGTATTTTCACAGAGGTTTTAAGCTACGTCGATGTCCAAACCAGGTAGGTGTTGGTAACATAAACCTGCATTGCGCTGCTGAACGTGACACCGGAAATGAAATGCTAGATACAAAATGGCTGCAGGTTGTGGTTCTAGCATGATTCACATGCATGATAAATTTCATCCTTTCAGAATCTTCCTTTAAAGTTTTAATTGCCGTAATAAAGTATTACAAGTGTGAATGCATTTCGTCTTGACTAGCCATTATTCAAATGTGCTAATGCCTACTTGATATCTGAGAAATAATCATGAATGAAATTGAGATTTCAGCAAAGAAAATGGGGCATATAATTATGAACACCATAATGGAGTTGTCTCATTATGCTGAGAAATGTGGTTCTTCAGACTGGACATGAAATCAGCTGGTGGCAAAGCCGAGATGTGACCACCATTAAAGGCAAATGGACAGCGGAAGCCTGTAGTAACAAGTGCAACCTTCCTACAGATATGAGCAACGTTGCTTTCTGAAATTCTTATAGACATGCAATTTGGTTGTTCCTTTACTGAACATCAAAAAACCGTACAAAAACCCCTTTCCTCCATGTTTATGATGAATAATTCTGTAATGCATGAGCATACATGTAACAATATCACTAAATATAGACTTGAAGGTACAAAAATGCAGGTTGTACACTAATATATGAAATGAATGTAAAGAGAAAAGAGAAACAGATGATAGCATGACTATTTATAAGAGGCTCATTTAAATTGTTTTTGTCAAGTGGGTGAAAAAACATGAGTCTTCATTGAAAAGAAATCACTTTAAAAGGGATTTTTCCTGCAGCCTGCACAGTTTAGAAGTCAACCGTTTTGTCCTGTTACTAAAACGCACTATACAGCCTAAACTTTCAATGACTGTTCAGTAAATTTTGGCAGCAACGACAATGGTGGTTACTGTGCCTCATTGTGCAGCATCCGATGACGACGCGTTTGATGTTTCTTCAATATTGACGGCCGTATAAACCCCTTACCACACAGCTCACAATGATATGGGTACTTGCCACTGTGATGGAACATGTGATCTCTTAACTGACGCTGACGGGTAAAAGGTGTCCCGCAGATCCTACAGGTAAATTGAGGGACACTGGCATGGGTGAGAAGGTGTTCTTTCAAAGTGAAGTTGTACTTGTAGCTCTTGCCGCAGAGGTGGCAGACATGTCTGTTTAACCTGCAGGGACTTGAGGATGGCCTCGCATTTCTCCCGTGCAAGGATTGCCGACTTCCTCCTTGAGTAATCTGACTTGACGATACCGGGGTAATACTATGGAAGACTTCAGGCTCTTGGGAGATACATGCACCTTCCCAAGACATAATTTGTAACTCTCCATCTTTGTTCTGATATGGTTCCTCTGCAGAGCTTGGCTGTTTTGGGTTACATTGGTCCTTGTTTGGAATATCCGTGTTCTGGGGAAAGATTGGTTTCGTTGTACTTGGGCCTACATGAAGGAGTGATGCCACATCTGCTGGAAAGTGACCACATTGGGTAGCTGCTCCAGGGGATTCATCTACAGCGTCTTCTGTTGGCTGATTCTCTGGTGTTGCCTCTGAATGTCTTCCACTGGTTGTTATCTCAGACAGGCTGAAGTCTTGGGTCCTGATTCCACTCCCCTCACCTGACTGACACTGGTGTCTCTCATTCAGTTGCTCATTATGGATCTTCTTGTGCTTCGTGAGGCTGGTGCCATTGAAGAATCCCTTGTTGCAGACCGGGCAGACGTAAGGCATGACGGTTCGGTGCATTCGCATGTGGCGTTGTAAATGCTGCGCCAGCTTGTAACCCTGCCCGCACACATCGCAGAGGAAGATCATCCGTCTGTCCAGTCCATGGTTCAACTGGGCGTGTCGACTGAGAATCTGTATGCTTCCAAATGTCTTCTTACAAATCCCGCACTGGTAAGGTTTTGAAGCCGGTTTGTCCACATCGACAGAGCTTGAACTCCGAGTCACTGCCATGGGTGGATTCTGAGCTTCAAACCCAGGCACCAGTCTTCTTGGGAATGGGGTCTGAATACTAGTATCCACAGCGTTTGTCAAGGATTGCAGCTTCCTCATGGGGAAGCCAATTGGGTAGGTTGCAGCCATTTGGGAGGAGGGTGTGGTTGTGGCGGCAGCATCATTACCTCCACAATCAAGATACAAGTTGGACCCACATGCATGGCATTCTCCTGTTTCACTCTCTCCAAGAGCAACATGACCCCCTTCATGTGACACTCCATCACTTCTTGAGTCACTGTCAGGCTGGATTAGCGAGTGCAACTCTGTCTGAAAAGAATCATCCTTTTCCATTTTGACAATGTGCGGGGGAGCATCCGTGCCCTCGTCAAAACTGTTCTGAGTGCGACTGTCTATGAAGCAAGTACTGTTCCCTCTGTTACTTTCTAAGGACCCACTGTGGTTTGGATCCTCCTCTAGCAACCTGGGTGCTGCCATCCCACTTCCATCCATCAACTCCTCATCCATCTTAGAGTTGACCTTCTCTTGGAGGTCCTGCCTCTCACTCTGGCATCCTCTCTCCACCAGCATCACTTCAGGAAGACCAGTCACCCCTGAAACTTGGACGTCCCAGGGTTGCTTGGACAGTCCCTCATCCTGATACTGCAGATGAAGGGTCCGTGTGGCGTAGTATTGGCCACAGTGATCAGTTGTGTCCTGAAGTTTGACCAGTATCTCACAGCCTGTCTGCACAGCCAACTCGTGCGCCTGCAATGAAACAAAAAATACTTCATCACAAAAAATCTGTTTATCCACATCAAGGTAACATTTGAACCTCTGGTTCACAGCATGTAACTCAAAATGCAAATTACTTTGCAATAAACTTACTTTCTGAAATACTTCCCGACGCAGGTTCTCTTTAACCCATTCCCTCAAGTCTGGATTCTCAATAAATTTCATGATGAACCTTTTCAGCAACTGTAGGCCGTCCTGAACTTGAAAAGAATGATAACACAAATGTGGTTAATTTAACCATATTCAGGTTATTACACTTTTTTTCTCAAATTGGGAAGGGTTCCAAAATATTACATAATTTTCAATTTCATTTAATTTCAATCTAGCCTTTAGGCACCTGGCACGTCTAAGCCCCAAGACAGTCTCTGACTTGGGTTGGGAATGTTGTTAATATTTCTTTCGTCATCATGTTGCTTATTCATGTTGTTGTTGGACCAAGGAGGAAGGAGGGGAGTTTGTGAAGTTTTCACGATGTTCACCATGCAGTCATTAATGATCAACAGAATCCGCGTCAGACTGCTTATTACAAACGATTCAAAACTTTTTTTCAAAGATTTTTGAAAGCAACATTTCCAAAAGCTAGCCTAAAGAGAAAAGCAAAAGGTCTCAAAGAAATTTTTCCACGATATTGGTGCAGTACACCATGTACACGCGATGTTCGAATATTCCTTCCTCCATGGAATAATTCAACAAACTGCGGAACACAAAGTCACTCAGCTAAACAATAAATAACGCAGTTTATAAGTAATACAATTTTAAGATTTTTACCTCAATTAAAGGAAGAACATTGGCAACATTTCCCCACAACTATCGACCATAACATTATCTAAGAGATCCGTACTAGTACTATGGAGGAACCGTGCCGAGACCCACACTGTGCATGTGAGCAGGTGACTGTTGTATGTCGACTCTTGAATGCGAGTATAAATAGAACAGTCGTATGGCGTAATAAACGTTCTGTGGCGCTTGGCCAAGTGACTCCAGAAAATGATTTAATCGGGTCATATAGCGTTTTGCGTTAGAATGCGGCCTTTGAATTGCAAAATCGCAGCCCGTCGGTATCCAAACTGTCATAGAAGCAACTTTTGCCACTTATGAAGTGAAGACAAATCAAACATTATGTACACTTTATAGAATTAAGGGCTAGTGTCACTTTATTTCTGCCTGAATATCTCCATATTACCACTGACAAAAGGACTCAATGACACATTTTCTGATAAAATCCTTCAAGAAAAAAGAGATATTCTTGATTAACACACACTTCAAAATACAATCAACCTTCAACTAAAAATAAAATTATCTACAGTCGATCCTGGTTAATAAGAGATTGTTCGGACTCGACAAATTACCTTGTTATGACAGGTACCTTGTATTATCAGATGGGGAACTCAAAATTACCATGTTATGACAGGAACCTTGTATTATCAGATGGGGAACTCAAAATTACCTTGTTATGACAGGAACCTTGTATTATCAGATGGGGAACTCAAAATTACCTTGTTATGACAGGAACCTTGTATTATCAGATGGGGAACTCAAAATTACCTTGTTATGGCAGGAACCTTGTATTATCAGATGGGGAACTCAAAATTACCTTATGACAGGAACCTTGTATTATCAGATGGGGAACTCAAAATTACCTTGTTATGACAGGAACCTTGTATTATCAGATGGGGAACTCAAAATTACCTTGTTATGACAGGAACCTTGTATTATCAGAAGGGGAACTCAAAATTACCTTGTTATGACAGGAATCTTGTATTATCAGAAGGGGAACTCAAAATTACCTTGTTATGACAGGAATCTTGTATTATCAGATGGGGAACTCAAAATTACCTTGTTATGACAGGAACCTTGTATTATTAGATGGGGAACTCAAAATTACCTTGTTATGACAGGAACCTTGTATTATCAGATGGGGAACTAAAAATTTCCTTGTTATAAGCAGAATCTTGAATTAACAGTGCTCTTATTAACGAGGTTTGATTGTGCATACATTTTACGGTTGTTCCTTTTTGTTAAATTACATGCACTGCTATAAACTGTTGACGATTACATCACCCTAATGCACCAACCTACTGCTTCAGACAACAGAATGTAAGTTTTTGACTCTTGAATTTTTTCCATTTCAAATTATTAGCTATGATATTGGTTTCCTTCAGCATGAACATGGTAAATACACCGAGTCATATTATCAAGATCTTGAATACAAGTAACGGTTAGTTGGACTTTCTGGTTCGACATTATATACAATCTTCAGCTCAAGCTTAAAGACATTGCACTGAAAATTCAATAAATTGTCACATTTGTTACAAAACACTTTGGAAGAAGTGACATTACCGGGGCATTTCTCTGACAGTGAAACAGCTTTGTCAGGTTTTGTTGAATTAAATGTTTTGTTCTGCAAAGGGACAGGCAAAGGCAGGATAAGGCAAAAGTAACTGTCGCACATACGTCAATCTTTCAGTCGTGGCAAAAAATGTTTTGCACTCACGCAGAACTAAATACCAACGACACTTGTGAAACAAAATTACGTTACAAATGCCACATTTTCCCCAACACGAGACCATTTTTATCAATGACACGACATAATCAGCACTTCATACCAACAAGATTCTAATTAAGAGGTATATTTGGTCAAAAAAGTCCACAACGTTAAACTCTTCCAATCCGTACACAGGCCAAGCAAGTGAAAATCGAAGATTAATTTTCAATATTATTTACCATCACATTGAACGAAATGCTTCCAAGAATTTGTGGTATGGCCCCTGTTGCATTCAAGCGGCAGTTGTCTCATGCCAGGTGAAGATATCAGATGAGGAATTTGTATTGGCAGCAAACACGTAACATGTATTTTTCAATCAGTCTTGTCTGCAAAAGTTGCAGTGGCAGATTTAACTTTTGGTTCTTTTGGGGGCTCGGTTTTTCCTTCCTTCTCTCCTGTTTTAGCCTTGCTTGGCTCTCCTTCTTTGATCGTAGCTTTGTTCTTGTCCTCTTTGGTCTCTTCCTTGGGCTCCTTCTCTTCCTTTTGCTCTATTGCTGATTTGCTGGCTTCTTCTTTCTCTTCCGTTTCTTGGTCTGGTTCTGCCTCCTCGATGGACTCAAGCCGTGCCACCTGTCGCCGCTCTAACGTGCACGCAGCGATCATTTCCTTGAGCTGGACGCACAGCGGGTGATCTGCACCATGTGTTATTAGCAGAATTTTCTCTGCCTGAAAGAGGAAAACAGATTAGAAAAAGAACGCACTGCCCTGACATCTTAAACTTTTTATGCCAAATTTTCTCATTCCTGCTAAATAAAAAAATACCTAAAGTGTACCTAAAGTGCTCACATTTGTTAAGTAAAATCAGCTAAGCAGAAATAGATTAGCCAAATGCACTTCAAATAATCTTTTCTTAGCAGCTTCAAGTTTGTGAATGAGTTTTACTAAGCCACCTTATGTGCAGTGCCTATACCTTGTGAAGATTCTTCATTGCCTCTGCAACCATCTTCAAATATTGCTGAAGCTTCCCCACCCTCATCAGTTGAATGGCTGCGGTTGCATTGTTACCAGGGCAATGGAACCTGCAAAATGTAGGATGAATGCAAATGGAATACCAGATGTGCAATGGAACTTTGACCACACTCAACAGCCTGCTCCCAACTTTCCAATTAATGTTCTTTGCAGAGAAGTTGTCAGAAATGATAAGGTCCGAGGGGTGGGCAGGAAGGCCTATTTCCTTGTTGTCTTGATGGTTGACCAACCAACTCCCAAGGGCAAAGTTTGAGAAAAACAGGACACCCAGAGGACATGAACAGGAAAGACAAGTCTACTTCTCCATTTTTCAGTTTGGCCAATTCTAATGTGTAGTTGGATGTACAGCATGAATATGCAAAAGGAATTACGCACAGCCATGTTAAACTTGTTCCCATTGGTACAATTACTCAAGTCATGACTTGTATTAACCACTTCGCGCCGCTGGCAGTTATTAATGTTGATGATGCTGGGACAGGATAATTATCATTTTTTTCTCTTTTCAAAATTCTTTACAAATTCCCATCTTCATTTACTGGACAGTTACACCCACACGAAGGACTGTCTGGTTTCTACTCTAATCTGACAGACAACATCTACTGACGCTGGAGTATTTCAGCCCAGATTTTGCGGTGTTACGTAATTTTCTTTTGCTCACGAAACTGGCACAGTAAGCTGCCGACTTCTTTTCAATAGGGGCCAGATTAGCGTGCAGCGGTACTGTGTGGTTCATTGCTACGGTGGTGGGGCGCTTTTGTCCTGGTGGTAATCCCCTCGCACTAAATCCCCAAAACCGTGGTATACTGTTTCAAAACAAGGCTGGATTATCTCCCCTATTGAGAGTGAAAAAATGTTGGTAATGCCCAGCAGCCTGGTCTTTTGTAACAAGGCCCAGTTCCCTTTGTCCGATTTTGGAGACCCCCGCCGCGCGTATAAAGAATACGTGTCTGGTACTGGAAACCTCCGGCAGCAAGTGGTTAATGCAGTAACTGCCAGTCTCCCATGTTTGATGGTGAATTTCTATACATACTCCAGATGTGCAATGGAACGTCGACCATACTCCAAAGCCTGTTCCCATTTTTCTAGGTGAATGCAAGAATCCATGGCATAGTGGAGTGTTTCCACTACCAGGTGGTGGTAGGGGTGTAGGTTGCCCTTTTGTAGCGCCAAGCACTGCTCGCTCAGCTCCAAGACCTTTTGCCAATGTGGTATTGCTACAGTTAAGGTCACATTTTTGCAGGCAAATAACAAAGTGGCAGTTGCACTTGTCAGTAAGTTATCTTGTCTGAGATCCCTGGTTTACATTACAATCTACTGATCAGAGTCTGCGCTTCTAAGCAGGGACGGGGCTATTGGTTCAAATCAACAAGAATGTAAAATTATCTTGAAAACCAGCTTACCCGTAGTCGAACATCCAGTGTTTTTAAAGAGATGTACTCCATCTAAAAACCACTTTTGCCTCGTCCAACTTTCTGTGCTGGGAACAGAAAACTACAACTACAAATTCTTGGCAGTAATAATGTTACAAATGAAAATAACCCGAAAAAGAAACTGATTTTGTTTTTAAGGATATTGCCAAAGCTCATGATCTTCTCAGCTGCTGACAGTTTGGCTATGCACTGCTGCTCGACAGTCTTTAACTGGTCTGGAAATCCTAGGGGGAATGCCTCAAAGTTACACAGGCTGCATTTCTTGACTGTCCCATCTGCAGACGACACGGCAGAATGAAGCAAGGTGATGAGGACTATTGGTCTACCATTTTCACAGATTCTGCTTGAAACTTTTTACACCAGTGATATGAATCCGCACTTTTCAAAATTACCTCCACAAAACATCGCCACCAAGCCGTATTAGTTGACTAGTTCAACTCAAACAACTTTGGTTATCCTTACAAAAGTACAAAATGCCATTTTTTGTTCTTAATTACGAATATAAATGGTTTGGAATGACGTTCACCTGGATTAACAAGGACAGCTTCTTGGCATTCAAGGTTTCCACACTGCACACTATGACGTAGATTGTCCTAAATAAAACAAGACAGCACGAATGGATTTAAGATGTTTCTACAATAAAATAACAAGAAAATTGATATAAAAACTTGAACTTTTTTTTGCCAGCGTAAGCTTGGTATGCAATATATTTTCATAAAAGTGTTATGCAATTCATGAAAGTATTACTCTTAAACAATTAGCGCAGGAATTTTTCTTCAGGTTTATCTTTTGCACAAGTTATTTGTTGGGCGCACAAGAGATTTTTGGCCTACCCGACTGGTATCTCTACAGAGGGGGCACTTGCACATGAACTGAAAGACATTTCGAAGAATGTTATTTCTTGTTGCTGTCGGTTTCAAGACGTCAACGTAGCTCACAAAACACTGTAAGATAACAATATCACACAGAGTTTATTTTAGCATAAATTTAAATTCTTAATAAAATGAGGCTGACTTACTTCTAATACTCCAATAGGACCACTGTCACAAATCATTCTAAACAGAATACATGTATGATCACCATCAATTAAATTTGGGTAAGCAAAGGCATGAAACAAGAGAATACAATACCATTTGTTGTGGGGGGGTGGAAGATAAATAAATTGTCGACAGAGTCGAGTTTTGTGCGATGATATAGCTAAAGATATCTGAGGAAGTTGCCAAACAGCAGACTTGCTGGACTAATCATTATGATGATTACATACAATCATTTACGACCAAACTATGAATGTTAATGCAGAGCCAATCACCTCTTTGTTGGCTGGAATGTCCCTGGTTGTCCTGACATTGACAGCTGTCCCCGTGTGGATTGCGACACAGTTGAAATCGCAACTGTGGTTGAACATGGAGAATCTAAGGCAATGACAAACAGGGATGATGACGTATACACTTCCTTAGAACATGACCAAGTGCAAATCACATCGAATCCACATGATCAAATGC